TTTAAGCAATAAAGACGAATAGCTAGGCAAATTAAAAACAGGGAAGTTCGGGCGTCTAATTTAATAAAATACACATGTAAAGGAAATGCTATAAAGCACTTCTAAAGTATTATCCTTCTTCTGGTGATAAGTATCATTGGACACAAATAATGGCAGCTGGGAATAAAGAGTTTTAGTCCCACAGTTGTTTACATATTGTATTTTTTTTATTTTGCGGGCCGTGATAAGGTGCACGGATATCCCGCGGTCTTTGCCTGGCGAATGTGAACGGACCGCACACCAGCTTCATTTTCACTGAGTTATTACGTCGTGTGTAATTTGAAACAATTACAAAAACACTGGCCCACTTGTTACAACACTCATTTTCCCTCACATATACAAAGCACAGATTCAATAGCTTTACATGTTTTTCAATCACACCCAGCGGAGCAGTGTTCAGCGTGAAAAAGTGTAGCATTTCACCCGAGCTCGCATGCTACAGGATAATCTTTCACATTTTGCCCGGGGTTTGTTTTGCTATTTCAGCAGAAACTTGTGCAAGCCATGTGAATTACTACAGGAAAAAAAAAAAAAAAAGGATGATAAAAACTACCAAATGATGCCGTATCAGATGAAAATGAATAAACTGTTTGAATGATCAGGGTAAATAATTTGTTATTGCTGAAAATAAATGTCGTTCGTTGTGGTTTATTGTCTAAGATGCATTGCAGAGATCATTTTTAAACATACAAGCAGGAAGACAGGGAGGGAAAATAGTAAAATACTTGGAAGGAATACATCTGTGCAGCACAGTAAGTCACAGTATTGTTTATGATAGTGTTGATCAGTTATATGGTACACTGTAAAAAAAATCTGTAATTTTTACAAAGTAAAACTAGCAGCTGGGTTGACAAATTATGTTAAAAATACTGTGAACATGTAAATAGTTTTGCAGAGTACGCCATAAAATCAACAGTTTTGCTAAGTAAAATTTACACATTATTCAGTAAACATAAACACCTTTGCACTGCACTTTTTATGCATTTTAAGTAAAAATAAATGTAAACTGTTACATGACCTTTAACTCTCATTTACATGCAACTGCTTTTGGCATTATGGTATTTTTCTGTGAATTTTACAATACTTTTGTAAAGCTTTTCACAGTAAAATGCTGTTTTCTACACATCATAACTAAAAATTACTTTAAATTTCTTGATTTACAGTAATACAGTGTATTTACTAAAGTGATATACTGTTTTGGATTTTACAGTATTTTACTGTTGCCATTTGACAGACGTTTTTTTTACAGTGTTTGTCTAGTTTAGACAAAAGCAGTGACTTAAGAAACATTATTATTTTCCTGTTACGTTCTGTTTTTCCAGGGTTTGCTGTGATTGAGGGGTCAGGCTCGGCCCGTGATGATCTTTATAGAATATGGATACCTTTGCTAGCGTGAGTACATTTTCACTTCTGGTCCTCATGACAACACAACTGAAAACAAAGAGGACAGATCTTGTACCACGTATGTCCATCGCTCCAAAGGTGCTGCTACAGGATGACCGTTGACATTTAGCATTCCTCCGTGCTGCTTCTGAGCTCTCAATGGGGGGATTTCAGGGTGCAGAGGCCAGCGCCTGGTTCTCAAGGGCACAAACAAAAAGGCTCTTGAAAATCCCTAAGAATTCCCATGATCCCTAGAAAGACCTTGATCCGACCTGTGTTAGATTTCCATTCCATGGATTAGGACACGCAAAATGTACATATTTGCATGATTCACGTCGTCTTTTGATTTCTTCAACCTCATTTCTGTAAAAAAAAATCATAGTTTACATAAAATGTAAATGCAAATTGAATGCAATTTTTTTTGCAAACTTGATAACACACAATGAAACATGGTAAAAAAATTCAAAAGTTTAAAGTACATACTGTAATTTCTGGACTATTAAGCGCACCTGAATGTAAGCTGCACCTACAAAATAATAATATATATTTTTAAAAAGTACATATATAGGCCACACTTGTCTATAAGTTGCAGGTGTCCACCTTGTAACATAAAACATTTACACATTTTTTGAAACTTTTAATTAAAAATGCACTGGTAACATACACAAATACGTAAAGTAGATGTTTTTACTGTTACTGTTTTTTCACTGTGACCTGGTTGGTAATTTCATTGGTCAGATTTATTTATTTTTATAACTTTTATTTATACAGGTAATCTCATTGAGTCATGAGAACCCCCCAAGAGAGATGTGTATTGGGCAGCTATGTGAGCACCTGGATATGACGAGGCTAAATGTTTTTGGCAGCAGGAAGTTCGTTAGCCGGTCAAAATACAAAACAAAACTGATAAATTAGTCACAGCATTGTAGAAGCTGCGAGGTTCAAAGCGTGTGAAAAAAAGTAGCGGCTTATAGTCATGAAATTATGGTAATTGCACAGATTTTAGAAAAAAATACAAAGTATGTTTACATTTGATGGCAGCAACACATCTAAAAAAAGTTGGGACAGGGCAACAAAGGGTTGAAAAACTAAATGATACAAATAAGAAAGAGCTGGATGAAAGTTTTGCAGCAATCTGGGCTAATTGGCAATAAGTCAATAAGACGACCACGTCCAGCGAGGCTGGATTTCTCAGAAGTAAAGATGAGCATGGGTTCACCAGTCCATATAAAACTGTCTAAAATTAGTAAAGGAATTTCAGCAAATTAATCTTCAATGAAAATTTGGGAAGACTTTGAATATCCTAGCATCTACAGTTCAAAATATCCTAAATGGTTTCAGGAATCAGGAGATACCTCTGAGCTCAAAGGACAAAGCTAAAAGTCAAAGACGAAATGTTTCAACAAAGAAGAATCCGTCCAGAGGACCTGAATCAACCTTGTTAGATTTATCCACCTGGATTATAGGGCATGCAAGTTGTCATCTTCAGACCCTCAGGGACCACTGCATGAAAAACCGGTCTGATTTGTTCAGGATGACACAACGTGGGCTCAGGAGGACTTCCACAAATCCATCTTTGAACACAGTTCACCGTGCCATCCACAAACGTTGCTTAAAGCTCTATCATGCAAAGAAGAAGCCAAATGTGAACACCAGGGCTTAACTTGTAAACCGGTCATGCCGGAATGCAAATAGCGGGCGGGCTTGCGGGCCTCCCCCAGAAAATTTTGAATAAAGTAGATGCAATTTTCTGTATTTTAGTGTATTTTAACAAGTTGTCAAACATCTACGTTTACCTACACTTTTCATTCATTCAACCTTTATCTAGACAGGTAAATCCCATTGAGCCCCAAGGACTCATTTACAAGAGAGACCTGATTTCAACAAAGAATGATGACAACAATGGACAGTTATAAAAAGGCATACAGATTATTATTTTTTTTTTTACAAAAAAGTAACAAAAAACTGCTAGATTATAAGGTGAATGTAGAAAACTAAAAACAGGAACATGTCTGCATTGGTTCCTGCCAGGAGTCCAACAGATTCTTAAAGCCACTTAGAGAGGTCAAGGTCGAGAGCTTCAGATCTTTTTGTAAGATATTCCAGGAAACAGGAGCGGAGTAGGAGAATGACTTTTTGCCAAGTTCAGTCCTCACTGAGGGAACACTGCAGGTAATAATGTCCTGAGAGTGCACGCTGTAGCTGCACTCACACAGAGACATGTAGGAGGAGATGTATGAAGGCAGCAGACCAAGAAGTGATTTAAAGATGAAAATGTACCAGTGAGAGAGTCTGCGTGAAGTTAATGATGTCCAGTTAACCAGTGAATACAGGGTGCAGTGGTGGGTACGATAATCACAGCCAGTTCTGAATCTTAGTGCACCATGATAGACAGCATCCAACATCTGCAGGGTTCTTGTAGGAGCGTTCATGTAGATAATGTCACCGTAATCAATGGAGGGAAGGAAAGTCACAGATTCAAGATGTTTCCTAGCATTCAGGGTTAGACAGGATCTGTTTCTGAAAAAGAAACCCAGTTTAACTTTCAGTTTCTTTACTAGCTTTTCCACATGGAGCTTAAAAGAGAGATGCGAGTCGACCAAGATACACATTTATAGGAATCAACAAACTCAATCGGGACACCATTTGAGGATGAAATCAGAGGAAGAACTGCTGGGACCGACTTCCTGTTTGGCATTTGTAAACATTTGTAAACACTTTGCTTCTGTCAAGCATCCTCCCTCTCCACCTTACTTGATGGGACTGTCAAGTCGGGCTTGGAAACAAGCATCCCTGCTCATTGTTGTCCGACTCCACATCTGCCTGCTGCTGCCATGGTTAGCTCGGCACTCATGCCCACCACTCTTTTAGGGGCGAAGATTTTTTTTAAAGAGTAAACGTGGAAATGCTACTTGATGGGGCAGCGTGTATGCTCGTAAACAGCTGCTGTGTTTAAAATGAGTGTTTATGCAATTATTTTCAGTGTACATATCCAATATGAAGTTTTATTTGTTCAAGGCATTCATATTTGTTCATAACTTCATTATTCGTAAATTTGAGAGTTACTGGATCCAAGAAAACAGTTACCGGAACGCACCCTCTCAAAATAAGAGTTCCCGGATCCTGTTCCTGCAGGATCTGGCTCAAATTAAGTACTGGTTCAAGTTCAAGTCAATTTTATTGTCATTCACATCACATGTGGTACATGAGGTGGAACCAAATTATGTACTCACAGTACCAGTTACACCCAACAATAGCAAAAATATAAAATATAAAAAGAAACAGTATATAAGGATGTAAGATATACACCAAGATATACGCTAAACACTAATAATGTAAAACAATACAGCATAACAACAGCAGCCTGAACATGAGTCTGTGGTGAGCAGATGGGTATGATTGAATACAGCAGCATGTGATAATCAGCAGCATGAGATAATCTTCACATATTACCAATTAAAGTGGATTTACAGTGATTTTTTTAAATTATTTTTTATAGTGGTTATACTGGTTAGGGATTCATGAGTCTAACAGCGTCAGGGTAGAAGCTGTTCCTCAGTCTAGTGGTTCTACGCTTAATGCTCTGCAACCTTCTGTCTGAGGGGAGCCTGCTAGTGGAGAGTCCACAAGCCTGCTTCTCTGATGGTATGGAGGTGCATTAGGGGTTCTGGCATGAGCAGCTTACACATATTGAGTGGCACCATCAATGCAGAACAATATAAACAGGTTTTTGGAACAACATGTGTATATAGAGTATAAAAATCCAACAAGGAACACCCAGGAATGTTTACGAGCTAAAATCCAGCATAGGACAAGAATTGGACAACGTTCCCCTCCAAAACCTAGAAAAACCTAACTTTTTCAGAATTGTAGTGGTTATTTAGGCAATAAAATGTTAACCACCGACTGGCATTAAACAAATCTGGCATGCTTGATTGTTTAATTCATTAAAATGTATTTTTTTTTTTTATGAAATCACAGAAGCTTTACATATAAAGCTGTCACGGCCTTCACTGAAGTAAAGTCACAGCAAAAAGCTTGTGGTGACATTTTATGGTGGAAAGTTTTCAAAGTCATTTTTCAAGGATTTTATTTTATTTTTTCCAAGCAACGTACATAATCTGTTAGCATCAAAGGAGCACACATGCATAAATAATTGACTCATTGACTTAAAGGGGGCCAGCGTAGATTAATTAAGCTTGAATACTAATTATGTTTTCTGTCTGCACTCACTGACGCAGTTGTTGTTTAGAAGAAACCGTTTGGTGGCTCACGATTACCGTGCACGTATATGGCTGCTCTATAAATTAAGGTGCTTTCACGATTTAATGCTAAAATAGCCTTTTTAAGGCCTTTGAAACTAAATGCTAACCTTATCTTTGGTCATTTAAATTAAGATGCTTTATAGACGTTTTCATCTCTCTTATGACATTTCACTGATAAAGCCACTTACGTTAAGCTATTTAGTACGAGTCTTTACTAACTTCATAATATAGCTGCCTGTCATGAGTTTGATTATCGCCCATCTTTCATGGCTGGCAATGAAAGCAACAAAAATTCCAGTTTTGATCAGAAATGTCAGCAAAGGACAAACCCAAGCAGAAGCAAACGCCCAAACGTGTTTAGGGAAGTCTGCTTGGGAAAACTTTTTACCACTTCCAGAAAAACTCTCACCCCGTCCACCGGGTGCTTGTCTGGAAACGGTAGCTCCGAGTGCGTCAGTGAGGACCGGAGCGTCTGCTCTCCCCTGGCAGGCGGCGCGCACGGCGACAGAGGAAGACGGCTCAGAGCTGGGGCCTTGTTTACAGCTGTGCGGGGAGGAAAACAGGCAGACGTAAATGAGGGTTGACGGTTTCATGAAGCACAATTGGTTGATGGCAGATTCAATGTGACTGGGCTGAACTGGGCGATGATCCGTACAGTATGCAAAATTCACTTTCTAGCTGGTCTGTGCCCACCAGCCCCTAGCAGCAAGCGGTCTTCCCCAAGCCCTTCTAGCTACGCCTTTGAAAGCAACGAGAACTGAACAAGGCATTGTTGTGCTCTATTCCTTTTGACAACAATCACATTGAAAAGGAAAGAAAAGACAATGAGTCATGGATTTATTTTGGCACCACTTAGAATTTTTTTTTGTCTAGTCTTGTCTGAAAAGTACACATTGTGAGAAATAAAATGTGTAGATGCCTTACAATGACTCCATGTTCCCAATGATCCCAGGGATATTTGTGCTATGCTGCATGTCCTGCAAATTTCACAATACACACAGTACGTTCAATATACTTCTACACAGTTTTATCGTAACATGTACGATAATATAGCCTCCTTTAGGGAAAAGTTACACCGCCGTTGTCACAACTCTTATGTTTGAAGAGTCATTTCTGCCTCCAAACATCTGGTCAGTGACACGTTTTCCCTCAGAACTGGATCATTGTAACCATTTTAGAAGTGCAGCATCTGCATGTTTCATCCACTTATGGTGTCTCGGGAAAAGGTCTTCACATGGACTGAGGAGGTTGTCGCTGTCAGCGGGCGTCTAGAGAGCAAAATGAGAACCACATATTACAAAGAAGCATATATGCTGGTGCTTTAGAGCAGATCCTTAGTGACAGTAACTGGAAGCTTAAAGCCTGAGGCGTTAGGACTGTACATCTTATGCATTCTTTTCCTCTTGTGCATGTATGAAATGTATTTTATTAAACACATTTATAGCAATCAGATGGCTTATTAGCCAAGGCAGAACTAGGTACGATGGAATATGAAAACCATCTTTGTTCCAAATTGTGCAAAAAAGGACGCAAAAGACTTGTACCTTTAAAAAAGGTGCATCGTCCACCTAATTTCTTTATCTGCTTTTATATTTTCAAAGGGAGCCGGTGCCTTTAAATGGGGGTACACCCTGGACGGGTCACAAGTCCACATAGAGACAAATAACCATTCACACTCGTCAGTGGGAGGTAATGAGAAAATCCCACATGCACAGAAACAATATAAAAAAAACTATACATTAGAAGGCTGGGAGGCAAACCTGCAGCCTTTGCTATGAGGTGACATTGCTAACCACTTCTCTACCATGCCGCCATTTGAAATACATGTATGCTACATAAGTGGATGCACTGTGTTAACGTATGAGAGACCACTAAATACGTGAGTTAATTATATATTGTTTTAGTTTGCAGTACAAGACTGTTTAAATGGTCCAGTATTATGAATAGCAAACAATATTTTTATATGTTTTTATAAATTATCTTATTATTTGTCCATATTTACGCAGGGATTTTCTTAAGTAGCATAAGGATCCCAGAAAATTGATTTTTGCTTACAGTTGTGATCATTATGAGAAATGAAAAGAGTAGAAAAGAGAGAAAAACTCTCGCCACAAATGGCAGAATTCGTCTCTCGTCTTTGGTACAACATAGCATGTACAAGTCACAGAAAATGATTGGTACCCAGTCGAAACGAAAATGGTTTTTAAATAAGTTACAATTAGATAAGCATTAATCTCAGTGGTATAAATGAATGTCTTGCTGTAGGGCTTGTTGAATGTAAAAACAGATTTACAAAAACGCTCTCACCAGATTGGTCTGGAAGGAGTCTTCTGCTATTTTAATTGCTCTGTCATTTAAAACAGAAATAAGCCCTCCCTCGCCCTGCCAAACATTCTGCCCCTTGATTTTGCCTTTGAAATTAAATATTGTATACAAATACATGCTGTTCATGGGCATGAGCACAAATCATCACTGAAATCTGCATAAAATAATGCTTAAAAGGCTCCATACGCTTTGAGCAACAGAACTCTTTTATATGGTGCATTCGTATGTAAACATATCAGTAACACAAAAAACAACTTCTTATGTCTTCTACTGCAGACTTTTCTGTTGCCTTGTTCTGCTCAGCTGCAGAAATGAGAGAAATGTGGGAACGCAGTTTGTTTCACGTATTCTTCATGTCAAAGAAGCCGGTGTTTTATATGTTCCTTCCTGCTTTGCTATACATGTTTCCTGCCTACAAAGACCACCTACGATGATAAAAGTATCATTGAAATTGCTCTTATTGTGCATGTGGATGTAATGACTGACGCACACGCTTTATACTACATGGTACTACTAAAGTCCAATCCTCATTTCTCTTATAAGGTTTATTAGATTCATGTAAATGGAACAAACTTAAAACAGTTTATGTAAATTTGACAAAAAAAAAAACTTATTGGAAACTGGATACAAGTAAATTACTATAAAACTACATTTCTATTTAGTTATGTATTTATTTATCTATTTATTATTTATATCTGTGACAAATTTTCAATTACAGTAACAGAACTGTATTTAGATTTAGAGTACTATATCTTTATTTTATTTACTCTAATATTAATAAAGGACTTTACTAGTAGTACTAGTACTATACAAAATATGTAAAAAATGTATACATGGATGGATGGATGGATGGATGGATGGATGGATGGATGGATGGATGGATGGATGGATGGATGGATGGATGGATGGATGGATGGATGGATGGATGGATGGATGGATGG